TCAGTTTTTCTACCCTGTCCATGAAAAAAAAGGGATTTTTTTTTTTAAACAGTATTTATCTAATTTTTGTGGCGAGTCTTAATAATTTACTATTATTTGACAGATTTTTCCAGTTTTGTAAAATTACAGCTATCACTAGTAAAATCACAGAAAAAAATTATTATTATTATGTTAACTGCAAAAGAATTTTTTAAAGACACAATTGTAAATAACATTCACCAAAATAATCTGAAAACTACACATAATAACTAGTACACCACAGAGAATACCTTTATTCACACATAACTGTAAAAATACAATTTTTAAAACACAAAACAATAAAAATCCACTTTTTTTTCAACTCTATTTACATTAGCTAAAAACATCATTATCCCACAGATATCTGTCATTACTTGAAAGACAAAATATGTTTATGAAAGTTTTTTTTTAATGATAAATAAGGCGTTTTAAAAAAATATTTCCCCTGATTTGTTAAATTACAGATAATATTTAGTAAAAACCAAGAAATAAAGTGTTAATTTAAATGCTGACTGTCCTAAAAAAAAAAAAAGGCCAAAATAGGCAATAATAATAACATCCACACCAAAAATCTATTCTTTTTCTGATATTTTACAAACAATACTTAACTATTTTACAATGCAAGATCATAAAATTACACTATTTTTTTTACTGTATTTAAATCAGCAAAAAATAGAATTCGATCACAGATATTTGTCTTCATTTAAAAGAAAAATTAAAAAATCTTTGTTTTTTCCCGTGTTTTGGTAAATTACAGATAATATCTAGTAAAACCACAGGTCAAAACTTTCCATTGTGTCTAAATTATAATAATAATTAAAAAAAAAAAAACATTGGTTTTCCTTTTTGTTCCTTTACAATAAAATTACACAAAAAATCTAATAAAAAATAATTATTTTTACAAATATTTTCAGTTATTTTCGTGCGTTTCTTCTGGCACCATTTTCGTACAGGATTTGCTTCACGGTGTAGAGAAGTGATGGTGTAACAGGCAGCGTGTCCACCCTGAGGACAGCGTCTCCTTTTCCACATTCAGCGGTCAATTTACTGGCAGCAGAATGGAGCCTTTCTCTATTAGAAAACAGGAGCAGCGGTGCACTCGTAAATGACGTGCACACGGCGTCTGCATGCAGGAAGACGAGCATCTTCAGAGGTCTCGGTCAGCCGCTTCTGCTCGGATGTGACTGCAGCGAAACAGCCTCGTCCGGGAAAACATCAGGTCAATGGCAAGCTATTAATTAGTTGCTGATACAGTTATGGACACTAATAGAACTGGATCGCTTTACATCTGTTTGGAGGCGCTGGACTCTAAGTGATCAACAGCTGTGCAGGCAAATAAACAGACCAAACTAGAAGAGGCTCAGTGAAACTTTCAAGGATAACAAGGAAGCGTTTGATAACTGAGCCTGATAATAGCTGGTATCTTAAGTTTCGCAACCTTCTTCCTGGTAATTATGAAACTCTTCGTCATAACTGGAGGGAAAAAAAACACACACACACACACACACAATGCGCTATGGAATATTCTCACAGGTGTCAAGTTTAGCACTGCAGGTGCAGCAGTTCAGATTTCTGTCTGTTTTCCAGCCATGTTCTTTTTGCTGCTTTAAGTCAGAACAGAGGAGAGCGACCTCGCTGCTGGGATGTTACCCACAGAACAGAAGCCAATCGTATCCTAAAACTAAAACATCAAACTGAAACAAAGAAGATAAATCACCACGACGTGTGTTTGCTCCTTCTGTTTCACTCATATCAAAGCCATTTTAAAGGACTTCCCAGAGAGCTCAGGATGGCCACCTAACGATCTTAGCTGATTACGACTCGAGCGCCTAATAAAAGTGCAAAACATGTTGATTCAGGATCAAAATTGCAACGAGTGCAACAGTCACTTTTATTGCTGCTTGATGTCTCCTCCACTTTCTTTGGCTAATCTACAACTAAAGCCTGTCATAACACAACGCAATAAAAACATAATCCACTCCGATTTACGGCTTCTTGAGTAAACACTTCTTATTTTTTATTTTAGCATCAACGTTGCAATGTGTGCACAGTAAGTGAGGCGAATGAACTCAAGAGAAAACTCGTTCAGGTCTCATTTTCCATGACGAATCTCCAAGAGAAGTTTGTCTGATGGAACATAATTTACTCTGATTAACACACAGGACTTGTTGACATACAGGCTCCACATGTGCACAGTTAAATGAGCGAGGAACAGGCAAAAAGAGGAGAAGGAAGATTTGGTTGCAAAAAAAGGAGGCAGAAAATCAGTTGTACAAAAATATTTCAGCGACAGAAAGGATGACCAACAACAGGTACTTAGGAAACACTAAATCAGCGCCACAATCTCAGCGTGATGATTACAAACCCAGATCTGGCTGCCATCCAAAGCAAAACAACTATTTCAGATGCCTTTGTCAGTGTTACGCCATGTGAGAAAGACTCCCGAGAGCGGAGAGAACAAGTTTTCACCTCAAGAAGTCAACTGACACAGTTACCAAAGAGGGTTTTAACAACATGATCTGGTCACTCCAGTAGCAGTAGGAACCATTTTTCTCAAGCTGCCATTCAGAGACATATAAAAAATGCGAAGCAGAGCTGTCACAAGCAGAATATTATGCAGCAGCGATGGACAACGGAGCCCTACAGAAGTCAAACTGTTTATTTATGAGGACTTCCAACTGAAAATTCTCTTGTTTGCATTTTTTCTGGACGATCCTACAAGTGAGAACATCACAACGGGGATGAGAGAAGCTGCTTGGAGCCTCGATCTCAACAGGCAACGTGGTGTTTCGGCTGCAGATTGCATCTTGCAGCTGCTAAAAGTTGCACCCACATTATATTTGCTGTTTTTTTTTACAATATATCGTGCAGCAAACTAAAACACCACAACATCATCTATAGCCCTGATGCCTAACGTGGCCTCAACAAACTCCAAATTGCTGTTGCCATGGTAATGAGTACTGGATCGCGTCGTGGCAGCAGCAAATGAAAAAGTTGTTTGTTTTTCGTGAACTCAGTGGACAAATGACACCTTTGCCCCGGTAATATAGCAGCTTTCCAAGCCCGGAGCACTTTAACTCCTCATTCAAATAGTGCAGGAATACGTTTTGCGGCGAGACGATATTGTGGACAGTTTGCAAACACAAAGGTCCATTCTGTTTTCCTTCAACTCCGCCTGCAGACACGCGCTCGATCAACTCCGCATCTACCTTCTGACACCCGCTCAGACTGACGGCGGGCAAAAATGAGACGCGTAGGCAGTTTTGACTTCCACTTCAGACGACAACAAAGCAGACAGTAGTTTAGTGCTTTGACACTTCCTCCTTGTCAATCATCTGGCTGTTAACACAATAACAGATCCCACATATTCTTCACATATTCTGCTTTACGTCCTTCACTACTCAGAGTATTCAGACTGACAATGAAACTGTGACAAAAAAACGCAAGCTAAATATGTGGAGAGAAGAGCATGAAAGTTAAATCTCTCACCACAGAGACAGGTTAAGATCATCTCGTTACAATCCAATGCTCAGCTGGAAAACCCTGGACTCACACTTTAACAAGTATCTAAAAGCACGACCCCCAATGGAAACAATGCTCCCTCAACAGGACAATGCACCCAAAAACTGCTCAAGAATTGGCTTGAGGAACACAACCAAGAGCCAAAGGTGGTCCCCCAGCCTCCAAACTCCTGATTGAGCATTTGTGGGATGCACCACAACAAAACAACCCACAATACCTAAAGAATCTGCTGCCATCATCACCCTGACAGGTCCAATGTCCACGCCCTATAGGTTGAGAGCTTTATTGACATCGTAAAGAGGACCTGCACAGCATTAGGTGGATGGTTTTAAAGCCGATCAGTGTTTCAGGCCGTGCACTTGGGTTTATCAATCAGACAGGTACACAGTCCAGGTAGGACACCTCCACGTATCTCATACTTCAGAGCGCTGTGCTAATTTGATTTATTTAACATTTCAAAACACACAGGGAGGAGACAATTACTGCAGCTGTGATAGCTCTGAGTGAGTCTGGGCACAATGCAGCATGAAACACTGATTTCTTGCTGCCTGATAAGCGTTAAAGCTCAGGCCTTTTACATATAAATGAACGTTACATGGCCACATTACCTTGCTGAATGAATTCATGCGATGCTGATTAAGTCTATCAACACCAGGCAAATCTCTCTGTGTTTTACAGTTTATTGGAAACGGCTTTCTGTGGCGACATTCCTGCGCTGGCACAGCTGTAGGGCAACGAATGGAGTGAATGAGCTGAAGAGGAGAGCAACGGAGACGGTAGGATCCAGCTTCGGCTGCATATTGGGTAGTTAGTATCGTAACCAATAAAAAATATATTAACTGATAAGACAGAACACAATGGAAACACGTCAGGAAAGCTAGTGCAAATGAGCTGTAGTACCTGGTTGCACCACCAGGTGGACCCTCTCACTTTTCCACAAGATAGAAGACTTCAGTTTGTGTTTAATACTGTCACAACCAAAGGAGGCAATGCTTTGACTATGGGCAGTTTCATGACAAGCAGAGAGCACTGTGGGAGTTTAGCTAGCATCGGGCACCATGACAATGACTTCTGTGGCATTTAAAAGGCTTCTGGCCGGAGCTTGCATGAGTTTTCTTCACTAAGCAGCCAACATACCGAACTGTCCTTACACTGAATGTTACGTATTTGTGCGTTAAAGTAGCCAGCGAACCAATACTTGTCCGCAATTGTTCTTAAGTGAATAACTGATTATAAATAATGCTGTAAATTATCGGTTATGAATTTGTAGTCACAACATTTGGAACAAAAACCCAAACGGTCCCTGTGGGGGAGGAAAAAGAAACTCCCACTCCAGGTTTAAATTTGAGTTTCTATACATTTGAATTTCATCTTTAAATAAAAAGAAGCTAAAACTGTTTTAGACAAACTTCACAAGTCCAAGCTTCAAGGTTTGGTAGCACCAACACAGCTGCTCTTACCTTGTTCTGGTCGGTCCAGTACAAGAAGTACCCTTTGGGGTCAACTGTCAGAGTCACGGGGGTCACGGTGGTAGAATCCTGAAGTAAAACAGAAAACATCTGGAGTCAGTGTGTGCTGACGTCTGTTTGTCCCCGTCTGAGCATTTTACACGAGTGTTTGCTTTGATGTTTATGACAGAATACTTTCCAGCTAAACCAATAAAAAAAAATCATTTGTCAGGATCAAAGCGTGATTTTTGAAATACCGCTTGCATACCAGAAACTGAAATGACAATAAAGGCGCCGTGAACATGCACACAATCCTTTCCTTCTAGGGAACTTTCCAAACCGTGACCTGGCATCACCACAAATGACCACAGAGCCTGCTGCGACTCTTTGCGATGACAGCAATCATGAACTGCTGCTTGTTTCACAGTTGATGTTTCCATTTTCCCCCTTCTTGTAACAGACAAATGCTTTCCCACAGTTTCTACGGGCTCCGAGTCTGGCGCGCACACAGTTTGACCCTGAGGCATACATGGCAACACCAGATATTATTGGATGCTTCTATAAAAAGACAGAGCCTTTGCCTGTTATTTCTTTTCTGTGTCCACGGTGGCTGTGGTTCAGCTGAACAGTAGCATATTGTCCTCTTCAATCAGCCGTGGCCGCGAGATCACAGGGACGGAAGCCGCATTTGGTGCACAGAGCAGGAAAATCTTCAAAGTGTCTTCATGAGGCTCCTAATGATGTCCCCGTCCGTCGCAGCATTGGCAGACAGAGCTAATGGTCTGCATCTGCTACGCGCTTGTCATGTTCGGATGCGACCCTGCGCGGCTCGTAGCGAAGAATGTCGCGTTTGAGCTGGGAGCTGGTGGACGGCGTTTGAAATCAAATGAATTCAAACCGTCTAAATAAGACAATCGACACACCTGCTCCATCATAAACCAATTCTGAAATCCACAGAGAAATTTTACAAAACAGAAAAAGACAGAGGGGGAAGTGAGCGGTGAGTAAATTAAACGCTGAGGTGCCGCATTGGAGGCATCTGCTATAGTGGCGCTTGCTATGGCAACCAATCTATCCTGTTGAAATCTATTAGAGACTCAAGAGGAATCATTTTGGTTGTGTTCACATGGTTGCGCAATCTTTGCAGGCTTGATTGAATGACAAAAGATGCCGCTCGTAGCGCTGAATGCATGCAGCATACACACTATTTATAGCCCGAGGGAGGAGGAGGAGGAGGAGGGAGGGGAGAAGCCTCCTGATCGTAGTTCTCAGATAAAGAATCTCATACCTAATCCGGTTCATATCTGTGATCTGCACCGAACCCACAAGCCACAGTCCAATTTCTCCAGTTTAGTTATTACAGATGAGTATCTCTGTCTCATCCTCCAGTTAGTCCCAGAACGATAAAATGTTCAATTTCAGTCAGTATCGATAACTACTGACGATTTTTTTTTTTGGCCTTTCGTGCCTTTATTAGATAGAACAGTGACGAGAGAGGCAGGAAAGTGGGGCAGAAGAAGAATGGGGGAAGGACTTGCAGCAAAGCCGGATTCGAACTCACTACCACTGTGTCGGGGACTTTAGCTCAACCAGGTGAGCTATCGTGGCGCCTCTAACTACTGATCATTTTCAATGGCCTATTAAAATGTGCTGATGGACATTAAATAAAGAAAGCAATAAAATTTGGAGGCGATCAGGGTGAAGCTGCACTGAGGTTGAGGGTCTGTCTGGTTGGTGTGTAGAGGTGATGGAAGACACGGGGTTGCAGATGTTTTCGGACAGTCTTGTAGGTCCACGCCAGACATAGTGTCCACCACAGGAGGTCTAGAATGCAGCCTCAGACTAGCATGCCTTGGGAGACCTTGAGAGAGCAACTGAGAATGAAGGAGCTCCATTATCAAGAGATACAACAGGCTGTTTGTGATCTATAAACTCTTTTGCTATGTGCCTTCATCCACCAACGGGTTTGAAAGGTATTCTATGTTAAAATGAATAAATAAAAATCACCAAAATGACAAACATTTATCAGCTAGGAACTGTAAAAACAAAGAGAAGTGTCCGATTTTCACCTTTCTGACGGTCCTACTAACCAAATCTAAGCTTGAAATCAACGACATGTCCAAGAAAAGTAGCCCACAGTGAGTAAAAATGCGACACGAGCAAAAAGCTTGAGTGTCTGCGGGTTAAAGTGAAACCATCAAACATTCTATCTTTTCGCTACTGATGAAGCATCTCTCGCTGCTGCACTTCGTTTCATCGTGCAGCTCTAGTTACTCCTACAAAGTTTCACGTTGGATCTGCGACTCTTCACTTCCGAGTTCCCGGTAAAATCGAGTCACGGATCCATTCAGCGGGCGAGACGTGGTGATTGATGGCTCGTCTGCGATGTCAGAAAAGAAGAAAAGAAGACGGATTGAGAGCACCGGGAATCTGCCTAATGACGTGAGAGCAGTCATTTTCCTCCAGCGTCTTCCTTAATGTCCCAACTCTCCGTGGCCACCACTATAAAACACATTAAGCCATTATGGACTCTGAGCGGAGATTTTCTTCCTGAGTCTGCACGAAAAAAAACAAAAAGTACTTATAGCGCTGTGGATTAGACTTCAGAGTGATTTGCTGAGATTACTACCTCAGGAACGGCGCTGCTCCTGTTTTTTTTTTTATTGCCAGTCGACTATTTTGGGGATTTGTCATTAATGGGACGACATTAGGCAGCAGTGGCCCGCTTTTTTTTCTCTTCTTTTTGCTGAATTAAGATGAGATTAGTGACTGACTTGAGAAAGTACAAACACCCCGAGGGAGCCGGTTCCAGGCAGGAGACGCCGCCATTATTTTTAGTGAAGAGTCTGTACCATTAGCCGTCACCTGAGGGGGTGTGTTCGAGCGGAGATTTGAGCTCAGCATATTTCTGCTCTGTATGCTAATGACATATTCTACTACTTTTAAGGGATTTTCTGCTCCCCCGTGGAGCCTGATGATATCTTATTCAGTGCACACCACACCAAAGGGGCCATGATACAAGTGTAAGCTTATAAAAATCTGTGTTTACACAGACCCGGCATCATCGCTCACAAATTTCACATCTTGCCAGTCTCTGTCAGTGATCCTTAAGACGAAGGGTCTCTTTCCGAGAGGATTTGGACGGCCGCCCGTCCTCCATTCTGTCGCAGCCGTCGGCGCTAAATGTGGCATTTGAACTGAGTGACAAATAATAGCACAATCCAGGCAATATTTCAGGCCGTAACCAGGCATCTCAAGAGCTGAAGAAACAGCCGGCTGTCTACAAGTGGCAGCAACAAAAGTACAAGGTGTCTGAGCACGTCTGTATGAGGGAGGTTGGCGAGGTCTGGGACTTAAAGAGATTTTTCTGATTGCTCTTCTAGTCGTTTTTCATCCACCAAACCCTGTGCGTCTGCAGTGCTTTTCACTGGCTCAGCTTCTGAAAACTCACCGCAGTACAGTGTCCTTACACAGTAAACAAACTTTTTACACCTTCTTATGTCCCCGTTGAATTCCGGCAGTGAGAGAAAAAAAAAAAAAACCCCCCCCGAAAAAAACAAAAAAATAAAACCCCGAAAACCGAATTTTTCCCCTTGTTGTTGTTGCTTTTACAATTTCTCGTGGCGAGAGGTTAGAGCGGAGCACAACATCCGAAGCCCAGATAAGAAGAAAATGTTTTAATTCAATCCTTTGCCACTGATAATTTATTCGAGCTCCTCTTTCTTTTTTTCTTTCTTTCAGCCCAGCTCTGGATTGCTCTGTGATTCTTTCCACGAAACGATACGCAGAGGAAAGAGGAAGGAAGGAGTGCATGGGAAATGAAACAGAGAAAAGAATTTGCGTTCGATAAAGTGTTTTCTCAGGAAAGGCCTGGTGGGCATTTGGTGCTGGAGATAGGCCCACATGTACAAACTACAGAACACAAACAGGGCCGTCAGGGGAAACAGACTCACACCTCACACCCCTTCTCACAACAAACCAGAGAGGGAGCTGAAGGAATGAGGCTCATTAGCAATTACTCAAGTTCTGTTATTCAAGCTGAGGATTGATGATTGACAGAGCGAGCGTGCACAGTTTCCTCTCTGCCATCTGCACTGACCACATTCACTGTTCTAACACTCACCCACTGAAGCCATCTGCACTGACCTCAGCTCACCTGAGCTCTGGTATCTGAATATGTATTTATGAGCACGATGTCAGAAAATCATTGGATGTTTCTACCATAACAGCACAGTTTATTGACTACCTTCATGCATGTTTGATTCGCGTATGAGGCGATATGAATTAGGAATCAGCGGATTATCGGATCTGATATTCTGCATTTTTGTTCTTTCTTTAACCGATTCCAGATCAAATAAATTAATTTTAAAATGTGCGACTTTGGCTCTGATGCTGCCGCCTCTCATCCGTCGTCACCAATCTGTGGTGTCGAGCAGCGTCTTACCCGCATCACTATCTGATTGGTACCAAGACACTAAAGCTGCAATAGCTCACTGATTAATCAATTAGTTGTCAACGATTAAATTTGCTCACTAGTTTGGGAGTCAGTTATTCCATTTGAGGTTTAAGTCCAAATTCTAGCTTCTGAAACGCTGCTCGACATTTTTCATAATTTGAATATGTATGAATATATAGAAGTCTTCTTTTTTTTTCTTTTTTTTTTTTAAAGACAAATTTCTGGACACTATTTAAGTCGTTTTTTGGGAAAATGTTAGAATTTTGAATCATTTTTTGGGACAAATATCTGATTGGTTACACGTCAGTAAAGTTGCATCAATAGATTGACTCCAGCTTCATAAATGTAAATACCTTCTGGTTTCTTTTCTCGTCTATGACAGTAAAAATTAATATCTTTGGGTCGTGGACAATTGAAGACATTTGTTATCTCCGGCTTTGGGAAACACTAATCAATGTTTTTAATTAATTTCTGGGACCATGCTCACCATTTTGGTAAAGTTTTGAGTAATTTTGGACAAATTTTGAGTATGTGATTGTGAATTTGTCCCTATTGTTTCAACAATTAATTGATTAGTTTCTAACTTCTTTGACAATTAATCGGTTTGAGCAATGTTTACAAAAAAAAATGCATTAATTTCTGGTTTCTTTTCTTCTCTGTCACAGTAAACTGAAAGTCTTTGGTTTATGATCAAAACAAGACATTTGTCATCGTGGTTTTTGGACAACACTGGTCGAAATATTTCACTATTTTTTTGGCATTTTACAAACTAAACAGCTAATTGATTATTGGAGAAAATCACCAACAGATTAGTTGACAACGAAAGTAATCATTAGCCGCTCAACTCTGACAGATTAATGTTGAAAAACACGTAAATAAAGAAATTTTAATTTGATTTTGACACTAAGGTTAAAATTTCTATAGTAGCTCCAGATATCAGCTGTTGAGCTCCTTCACTGCTAATAACTGGCATCGGTATTAGCTCTGAGAAAAACAGAACAGTCGACCTGCACAACTGATCTCAGTGAATCTGAATTTGGATTTGGGAGCAAAATCTCATTACCTTAGATATCAAACTGCCACTTGTCCTGTATAAAGACGACCATAACAGCGACGTTTTTCTGTTTTTAGAAGCACCGAACCACTTATGGTGGTCTAAATGTTTGGTTTACCTGCAACTAGAGCTGCAACTAACGATCATCTCCAATTAATTTGTTGATTCTTTTCTGTAATAATTGATCAGATACTCAAAATGTGACTAACATGACTCAAAACATGATGGAAAAACAGAAAATTGTTTAAAAAGTTCTCCAAAATGACTCCAAATTTGAGCAGAATGACAGAAAACTTGTCCGAAATGATTAAAAATGTGCCCAAAATGACTAAAAATGTGTCCAAAAAGACAAAAACGATCAATGAATCGGTCTCTAAAATGTCAAAATAAACGGTGAAAAATATCAACCAGTGGTTTTTATAGCCTGAGATGGCAAATGTCAATGATTCATTGAGGAGAGGAGAAAATGGAAAATGTTCACATTTAGCAAGCTGGAGGCAGAGAACTTCTCCAACACATGATTTGGCGACAACCAGCCGATTAATCATTGCAGCTCTACATGTAACGCGATCTGTAACCACATTTGAGGAATCAGTTCCCACCAGACAAGACAGAATCACAGTGAGCAGCAGTCACAGGTGCTTGTGCTGTATGTTTTCACAGAGGGGAGCAGAGAAATCCATTTTCCAGGAATGAAAGGCAATCACAATCGTATTCAAATGCTCGCACAATAAACACACATCAAGGCGGGAGAAACCAGAGGAATGCATGCAGTTATTCAAATAGGATGGGCCGTGGAAACATGAGAAACAAATACCACAGAAAGTCCCATCCGGCATGAAGACATAACGCAGAAGATGCAAATAAGTATGGCGGGTACAATAAGGTCGTTTCATTTAAACTCAATTTGGAGAGCAGCTGGCGCGTGTGGATCCTGGACTGGATTATGTGTTGATTTGTTGCTCTGGAGAGGTGCAGTGCGGCCATGGCTGTCCGTTAAAAGGCTACTACTGTTATGTTTTACTCAGCAGCGGGGGGATGCAATCAATTTTAATCAAGGTCATGTCACTGCAGCTGGACAGTCAGTGCACAGGCTCATGAAAGATTAATAATAAAAAAAAACATGCAAAGAATGGTGCAGCTGCCACTCAACAGTTAGATTCTCTGGTTAATTGCAGCTAATTGATAAAAACGTGCAGGAGGAGGAGGGGTGAGGTTGGTTCAAATGACTCATTGGATTTAATGATGCACACAAGCACTGGGGCAGACGCGTGCACTCCCCCCCAACCGGGGCGCGCACACGAACCCTGTGCATTGGGAAACGTAAACAGAGCACATGTCAGTATAGACACTAGAGCAAGAGCTAAGCAGGAAGCCAAACGCAGTGAGCCGTGTGTCAGTGCACACTCAGATCAATCTGCTACTGTTGCACGAGTAGATGTGCACAAAAATAAGAAGAAGAAAGCAAAAAGAAAAAGCAGTGCAAATAAATAAAATAAGGAATAAAACATACACAGCTGCTCACTACTTACATCATCCCATTTCATAAATTTGTTGCCCTTTCTCAGGCTCTCGGGCACGGACACCGGCTTGAGCTGCAGCGCATGAACTCCAGGCTGTGCCCCAGCCATTGGCTCATCTACTCGTCTCGACGCACGGCACAGGCGGGCAAGGAGTCACTTCACTCTCTCCTACTCTTTAGTCCCTCTTGTGTAATCTGCCTTAAAAAGCGGGCTGAAGGAAGCCCACTACTGCTGCCAGTGTGTCATGCCCGCATTGACGGCAGCGGCGGCGGCGGCGGCGGTGGCGCGTCTCGGCTTTGGAGAGCTGTGGAGGCGGACGCAGGCGTGTAGCGGAGCGGAGCCACTGACTGATTGACTGAGTGAGCGACATGCAGCTAAAGACGAGGAGAAAGAGAGAGCGGGAGGGAGGAAGAGAGAGAGAGAGAGAGAGAGGGAGAGAGGGAGAATGGCGGAGAAGGAGGGGGCATCTGAATGAGTTGCACGTCTGGTAACAAATTGTACAAGTCAGCGCAGGGACTGGATCGATGCTTTAAGTGATTTAGCGCCTCCGTGCGTCCGAGGCAACACGACGGGCATTTAGTGGCCCCGAAAGCTTTAAGCAAATGAGACGCTCAGAGCAGGTGCATGTAAATCTGGTGTTTGGTAGCAGAAGCATAATGAAACAAGGCTGCGGACTAATAAGAGGGATGTTTCTTTTCTTTGGTAAATGAGGCAGGATTTGGTGTTGGAGAGTGAACCAGACAGTGTGTCCAGGCCATCAGTCACACTGAGGTGGCACAATGTCTCCTTAGTCGTTTTTTTGGTCACCTACTCTTATCATTTGCATATAAAGGCAAGACTGCTATACAGAAGCACAGGACAGCTCATATCCAGTATGAGCTGTTTTGTTTTTGTCTTTGGTTGCTAAATTTACATTTATTTAACTGTTGATGAAGCCTATCAGATAATTACAGCCTCGATTACGTAAGAAAATGTAGATTATCAGTCATTGAAGTAAGCATTGGAGCTTCAGTAAAAGCAATTTGACTTCTCTTTTAGGTTGGTGAAGACGTTTCACCTCTAATCCAGCTGCTTTTTACTGAAGCTCATACAATATACATTAGACACTCGTGTCAAAAAGTCTTTATTCTGCTCAGGACACAGCACAGCGTCCATCCTTTCCCTGTCTTTCTTTTGGCTCCTGGTTCTGCATCAGTCTTGCACCGATCAGCAGTTCTTAAGAGCTCTTCAAAGCAGGTTTTATCTCGACACTTTTTAAGAGTCTGTACATGAGCTGCAGCTAAACTGCAACCGCAGCTGAATCAATGTAAGCAACAGAAACATGCACCAATATTTCTTTATTCACGTAGAAAAGCGGATGCGTTTTGATACCACCTCCACATTTCTAAATGACTAATAAGAAATCGTTGAATTAATGCAAAATAAGTTGAAATGTGTGCTTTTAAAATGTCAG